TTTAATGTTGATTATGACCAAGCCATAGTAATAAAGGCTTTTTAACTTTTCTAAAGAGATTGATGATAAATGTTCTTGAACACCAAATAAGTAATGATGCTGAAAATTCAGCTTGGCCATCACAGGAATAAATAACATTTTATAAAACACGAAACTGTTATTTGTGTAATATTTCACCCTTTATAACTGTTATTACTGTTTTTATTACTGTCAAATGCAGCCTTGGTGTGCATAAGATACTTTCAAAACATTTTTAAAAATCAGTAACACTTTATTTTTTGGACATATTACAGTAATAACAGCAAATTATGTATAATTACAAGTATTGAAGGACAACTCCGACGCAAAATGAACCTTTGGTCTAATAACACATCGGTACCTAGTCGACCGTTCTCTGAGATTTGTTTTCATGATAATCGAATGTAAAGAATTTAATCTCAAAAAACTGTTTAGCATATAACGCTAATATATGTTGACATATAATAAGTAAAAAGAAATCACTAGTTAATACCACTAACAAGGCTCAAAATAGCCTCACACTAACACAGTAACATAATGAGGCTCCATACATGCAAAATGAAGCATTGAGAACTTTGTAAGTGTATAAGAAGATACTTAATGAAGACAGTTCACTTCGTGTGTACAGGCAGGAGCCATCTTTGGAAAACAATCTCGACAAGTCGAACCACAAACGACGTGCCAAGTGAGCTGAACTGTATATGAACGGCGTTCGTGCTTCGACTTGTCGAGACTGTTTTCCAAAGATGGCTCCTGTCGGTATACCCACTGTGTTAGTGTGGGGCTATTTTGAGCCTTGTTAGTGGTATAAACTAGCGATTTCTTTTTACTTATTATATGCCCCCATATACTAGCGTATACGCTAAACAGTTTTTAGAGATAAAACTCTTTACATTCGATTATCATAAAAAATCAAATCTCAGAGACCGGTGGACTAGGTACCGATGTGTTTTTAGACCAAAGGTTCATTTTGCGCCGGAGTTCTCCTTTAAGTATACAAGTATAATTGAAATGTATGATATTATCTTATATTATTAAGCTAGGTTGTAATGTGTTGTTGATTATACACAACAAGTCTCAAAATCTTTTGAGAATGTCTGAATAATATTATATAAGCCATTTCCTATTTTCTGTTTTCTGACAGCCATGGCCAAGTGTTTCCAACCTTGCTAAGGACTTCATTGACCGCGTCCTCACAGTGGATCCAACTGAGCGTCTCACTGCGGGCCAGGCACTTAAACACCCTTGGGTTGTCAGCATGGCAGCTTCCTCCTCTATGAAGAACCTGCATCGGTCCATTTCCCAGAACCTCCTGAAGAGAGCGTCCTCACGCTGCCACAGCACTAAATCAGCCCAGTCCACTTGCTCCAGCCGCTCCACAAAGTCCAGCAAGGCACGGCGCGTTCGCGAGAAAGAGCTGCGAGAACTCAACCGCCGGTACAAGCAGCAATGTAACGGTTGAGAGCGAGACAAACAAGACCATGCTAAAACATTGGAGAGAGCAAAACATTAAACAACATTGTGCCTCAACTTAGATGTCAACTTCCTGCTCCATCACCACAGAGCCAACTAGCAGAAAACCTCCTTCTAAACTTTTCATTCACTTTCTATTATTTTTCTGCTGTTTTTCTTTCGTTTATTGTCTTTTATGTGAGTTTTATTTATTTATTGTTGGTGTATTGTCATGTTTATGTTGTCTTTGGAAATGATCTCATTCAGCCTTTTACCTGATTGTATCTGTTGAACAGAATTTTACATAAGTTGCTGGAAGGACTAAGAATACACCTTCCTGATTTTTGCTGTGAATTATTTGTTACGGTACCCACCCGGAAGATTGTTCTTCTGATAGGGGAAATGTGCTGTTTATTCATTATTGGCAACAAATCACTTGACCTAGTTATAGTTTATTGTGCCTTAAAGGGATAGTTCACTTTGAAATTAATTTTGGCTGTACTCCAAGATGTAGGTGTCTTTGTTTCCACAGTAGTTTCAATATTGATATTTTTAGGTCAAACCGTTCTTGTCTGTCAGTCATATAATGGAGGTCTATGGTCACCACCTCAAAGAGCATGCACAGAGAAGTCCAAATTAAACATGATTTAATGACTCGTAAATGTAAGTACACATTGATGGCCTAAGACACGAAACGAGTGGTTTGTGTGAGAAAACGAACAGTATTTATATCGTTTTTACCTCTTGTAATTACAGCCACAAAGCGCCCTCAGATCACTTGGACGTGGCTGTGGTTACAAGAGAAAACTATAAATACTGTTTGTTTTCTCACAAAAACCGCTCGTTTCGTGTCTTAGGCCATCAATGTGTACTTACATTTACGAGTCATTAAATCATGTTTCATTTGGACTTCTCTGTGCATGCTCTTTGAGGTGGTGACCATAGACCTCCATTATATGACTGATAGACAAGAACGGTTTGACCTAAAAATATCAAAATTGAAACTACTATGGAAACAAAGACACCTGCATCTTGGATGCCCTTGAGGTAAGCTAAAACATACCAAAAATTAATTTCAAAGCGAACTATCCCTTTAATATCACTTTGAACATGAGGGAAAGGTAAAAATCAAACTGTTGATAATTGCTTTGGAAGTGACCACGCAAATCACATTTTTAATAATACACACTGCTGTTTAATTATGAGCCTTAAAGGGATAGTTCACCCAAAAATGAAAATTCTGTCATCATATACTTACCCTCGTGTCATTTCCAAACCCGTATGACTTCTGCAGAGCACAAAAGATGATGTTATGCCCATACAATGAAAGTCAAAGGGGTCCAAAACAACACTAGACCTCATTGGCTTTCATTGTATGGATTAAAAAACATGGATAAATAACTACAAATGTTCTTTTGTGTTCTGCAGAAATAAAGTTATACAAGTCCGGTTATAAATGATTACAGAATCTTTAGTTAAATTATCGCTTTAAGTTGGTCCAAAAATATTAAAGGGATCTACATTGCCCAATATGTCTGTTGTTTATCCTGAATAAGACATAACTGACCCTTTTCTGCAATCCTTCTAATAAGGACCCTAATTGTAATAGCAATCATTAATACCTGTCGGAAAATACTCCAAAAAAAGTGTTTTCAGAGACTTGGCTTTAATTTGGTCAGTGAAGAAACTTACCGTGATTCATGACTTCTACTGTTGTAGTAATTATTCACACTATCTGATATTGATCGCTCTCAGTGTATGGGTGGCCACTATCGGGAAGCCCCGAATCTGAATCGGTTACTTTCTCTGTCACCAGCTGTTGTGTCGTGAGCAAGGCACTGAACCACCGTGAAGGCCTTTTGGCAGCCGTTGCACTCTGGGAAAACCCAGACAACTTCCTTTTTAAATTTAGATAACTCAGTTACAACTGAGAATGGTCTGGTTTTAACCAGGCTACTCTCACCCCCCCTCTGTCAGAAAGCAGCAGAAATGTGCCAAAGAAACTCCTGTGTGCCTGGATTATCGAGCAATGTTTGGTGAGAGCGGACATATGAAAATAATTAGTATTAAAACTGTGATGAAATGAAGACTTTTTAAAATATGTTCTTAAATCTGTTCCTTGTTTTATATATATATATAAAATCATATATCAAAAATTAAGGGGAAAAGTAATCTGTGTATCTGGGTTGTGTCCCGTTTCACAGCAAGTGCCTTGAATTTGTTATACAATTAATGTAACAAGTGAATAATATTTTGAAAAAAAAAAAAAAAAAATTGCAACCACATTGGTTTTGGAAACTTTATTTTTGAATAACTATTTGACTGCAGAAATCAGTTACATTTATTAGCGGAATTTTGAAAATGATTATTTGAAAATAACTACAAATTTGAAGTTTCTTGAGGGTTCACGAGTGTTAAGGCTATCATACATCACTTGTTAATTTTAATATAGCAGTATCCATTAATAACATCAAAAATGACTTTGGGAAAACCACTGTTTGTATATGCCTTTATACCCCAAATATTTTTTTTCTCTCTCTCAAGGAAAAAAATAATTTATATGTGCACGTCAAAATTGAGATTAGTAAAGAAAATGCTCTTAAAAGTGCAAAAATATTTTTAATTTAGTGTATCACCAACATTCATGTAAGGAATGTGTCTTTTGTAGCTACAGTTGAAATAAAACTGCAACTGTTGTCCATTTGTTGAGTTCAGTCCAACACGGTCTCATGTTCCTTTTTGTCCATTTTTTAATGAACAATTACAAAATATTTCTTTTTTTTTAATCATTAATATTTAGTACAAAATGTTGCAATCAACCCAAAAACAGAAAGCTCTCACTTTAATCAACTACAATATCTTTACAATTCAAATCAAGAAAACAGCTATATTATTTTTGTGCAACATAAACTATGATTCATTTTCCATGTTAGTCACATATCTATGAAGCAAGATGTTTTCACATTGTTTACATTTTTGGCTGCTGTGTGGAGTTTATAAAACGGGCTTAATTGTAGGTTATAAAGGAAGACAAAAATACGGTGATTCATTGGTAAATATAAAAGTCATGATGTTCAGCTATAACGTACATTTTAGGCCAAGTGGTTTCCTATATATGGCTTACGTAAAATAAGGTCTGTGGTCAAGGGATAGTTCATCTAAAAATCTGTGGATAGGGTCATTTACTCGCTCTCATATTATCTTATATTTGTATGACTTTCTTCTGCAGAACACTCAAAAAAGATTAAACAAATAAATTGGAGCCCAGTGACTTCCATTGTACGGAAAAACAAAACACTGATACATTTCTCAAAATATCTTTTTTTATGTGCAGAATTATCTATTAATATTTATAATTATTAATTAACTATCCCTTCAACATTACTTGAAAAAAAGTTTCTCCTTTAATATGTTAGGTTATAACAGTCAAACAACGCACGTTGCTATAACAGCTTTTAAAAGTTAAATTTGTTTGCCAGGCTGTAGCACGTAAGAAAGCATTGGAGCTTTTATTTTGAAAAATGACAAAAACGAAATAATGGCGCCATATATTCTTTCAGCTAGCTTCACATTTCACTTCAGCACAAAACAGGTCTGTACAATTATTTGCAGATTTATTTATAATGGTATAATATCTATTTTATTTATAGATAAATCTATATTTGATATTATTGTTTCGTTTTTCATAATTTTTTTATTATTATTTTATGTCAGAGTCTGAAACGATCAATTAATTGCGAAAGAATCATCAAAAATAACCTTTGAATGCAATGAAGCAGCCTTCCTTTACACAATTCAGACACTGCCTAATCCCTAATGTATGCCACCATCTCCTATGACTATTTATACTTTCTTTATTCTTGTATGTACTTTCAGGTTCAGAAACAAATATTAAGCCTTTTATTGTTTACCTGGTTGATGGGATAACAAATGAACAGATCGATATGGAGTCTCGGATGGGTAAAGGCAGCTCTTCTAATAGAGGCAGTGCCAGAAAACTCTCAGTCACGAATAAAAATAGTCAGAGAGGCAGTGCAATCAAAGAGAGAACAAGCAATGGAGCTTCCATAACTTCATTTTTCAGGAATACACCACCTAGTAAACTGGCCTGTCCTCTGTGTGGCAAACAAGTACCTCGTTACAAGATTAATGAACACATAGACTCTCAATGCCAGAGGTTTCTTGGAGATAATCATGAAGATGCATTCAGTGAGGACAAGCAGGAGAAAATAACCAAAACCCCCTCTAATGGTGCAGTAACTCGAAATAACAGGAAAGAGAAAAGCCCAGGAGAGAAAGATGCTGATACGAGTCCATATTTTAAAAAGAACTCCGTGATGAGACAAGAGTCGTCCCAAACAAATGTACAAACTAAAGCGGTTAAAAAAGTTGGTCTTGGGAGTTTATCCTCTAAACTGTCTAGAAGAGCACTTAGGCTTTCAGGGGAATCTGAGATGGTTAATAGTCATGTCTCTGGAAAAGTAGAGTCCTGTAATTCAGAAGTGAGCAGTTCACAGAAGGAAAACTACATGAAGAGTTTAACTTTTGAACCTAAAACCAATGGCATGGATACAGATGACGTGCTACCAACAGAGCCAACAGCTTCAATCCAACCTCAAGTGAAAAAAATGGAGAAATCTGTGGCACTTCTGGGAGAATCTAGCAGCGGCGCTGACGTTCAATCATCGAGATGTTCCTCCTCATCCAGAATAATGAAGCGGAAGTCAGAGGAGGGACCTAAAAACGACACAAACACTACAGAAACCTCCATCATACATAAGAAAAGTAGATATATTCAAAGTAAAACTGAAAACAGTCAAGACACTAATGTCAAGTCCGATCAAACTGATGCCTCATCCAGTGTCTATGATGTTTCATCATCAGAGAGTCAGATCAAAAGCAAGACCATATATGAGGACATTGAGACTACAACACCAGCTAATGAACCCGAAATGCTTGCCGTAGAGAAAGCCAATGAGGAATCAGAGCATCAGCACACCAGGCAGCCGTATTACCTGCAAAACTTTCGGACTGTCCTTGAGGCGGTGTTGGAAAATGAGGATGATAGGCTGCTCTTCAATGAAGATGACTTCTCAGCAATTCACACTTTTCAGCAGCTTTCAGGTACTACTTCAAAGTCACTTTGAAGCCTCAGTTCTCTTCTTATATGCAACAATAGTCTTTTAAAACTCAATGCGCTCCAGGTTAGTTGCTTATAGTCAAAAAGCTTATAGTCATTATGATTTAAAAAAAAAGAAATTGATACTTTTATTCAGCAAGGATCATTATACATCAAGATTTATCACAAAAGATTTATATTTCTTAAAAAAGTTAATCCTGAAACCTGAAAAAAAAAATGCATCCAAAAAATATGAACTGTTTTCATCACTGATAATAATAAGAAATGTTTCTTGAGCTCCAAATCAGCATACTTGAATCGTATCTAAAGGATCATGTGACCCTGAAGACTAGAGGAATGATGCTGAATCATTCAAATTAATTAAGATAGAAATGATTTACTATTAATAGTAATTATATTTCACAATATTGCTGTATTTCATGTATATTTGATCAAATAAATGAAATTTTTGTGATCATAAGAGACTATAAAAAATATAAAATTAAGAAAAAATCTTACCAACCCCAAACTTTTGATTGGTATACAGTGTATGTTTGCAATCATCTCTTTCTCTCTCTCTCTCCTGTAGTTCCTGGTCAGATGCTTTATGTCCGTCTGTTCCAAAGGAAGCTGAAATGGCTTCAGGTCAGTAAGGTGGAATATACGGAGATCAGCTCAGACCTCAGACCTGTCTTTCAAGAACTGGTTGCATGTGGCTTCCTACAATCAGGTTAGTGGTGAGATTTGTCGACCATTTTGATTTATCAACACCCAATATCAGCCAACATGCTCTTGACTTCTTTCCTATGACAGAATCGGAGCTTCACGACATCCAAGAAGTTTTAGATCTGCTTCCCGCACCAGAGCTCAGAAACCTGGCCAAAACATTTCACCTTGGCCGTGGAGGGAATGGGACTCAGAAACAGCAGTTGGTAGAAGGGCTACTCCAGCTGGGGAAACAGCGATCGCTCTTTGCTAGTCAGAACAACACGTCTGCAGTCATTCTCAAGAGGTGAGATGTTCAAGATACATGCAAAAAGCAAGGCTGCATTTATTTGCTGCACAATTTAACATAACTTAGGCCCCCGATCCCGATTGTATAATATAAACCGTACAAAACAGATGTCCTGTTACGAGTAAAGCTTGTCTTTTTCAGGGCCAAGCAGGCTGCAGGTTCCTGTGTGCGTCTGTGCCGCAGGTCCCGCACTGTGTTCTCCCGCTTCCTGCTCCTGTTCTCCCTCACAGACTCTTTGGAGGAGGAGGAGACGGCCGCTGGAGGTCAGGGCCAGCTCTACACCATTCTGCTGGTCAATTCTGGCCGTCTAGCTTTCCCAGAGTACACTGTACATCGCTCAACCAGGCTATTTCAGGACAGGGATGACCTCATCAGGTCAGTGTTACATTTATTTTTTTAACAAAATCAGGAGAAAAGAAAAGTACGTCACACTTTTTATTAGCTGTCTTTACTATGTACTTTAGGGACAGTGTACTTATTTTGTTGATGCTGTATTGCAAAACACTTTTGATCCTGTTTGTCTATTTTAGGACCATAAAGTAACACATACTGTAACACAAACATGTATTAATAAATTCAAAAAGCATATATTATAGGAAGTTAGGAACAAATACCACCATGAGATATATATATATATATATATAGTAAATTAATTTATATTTAAAATATTTAAACAACTTTTAGCATTACAATCTGTACATGTTTTTACAGATTTTGTGATGTTTGCTTCTGAAACCTTCATTTAAAGGAAGGGTTAGTTAACTTTTAAAAAAACATTTGCTGATAATTTACTCACCCCCATGTCATGCAAGATGTCCATGTCTGTCTTTCTTCAGTCGAAAAGTAATTAAGGTTTTTGATGAAAACATTCCAGGATTTTTCTCCATATAATGGACTTCAATGGGAACCAAACGGTTCAAGGTCCAAAAGACACTTTCAGTGCAAACTGCAAACTGTTCAAAGGGCTTTAAATGATTCCAGATGATGAATAAGGGTCTTATCAAGCGAAACGATCGCTCAGTAAAAAAAAATATATAACAAAGTTTAAGTTTAATAAGCTCAAATTCTCGCCTTGCTCTGTTCTGTGTGACTCTCCTGTTCAAACTCGTTCATCAAAATAAACAAATCTTTTTCCGAGTCAATTCGTTAATTTGTTCGTTGAATGAACTAAATGACTCGATAAAAGATTCATTCATTTTGATGAACGAGTTCGAACAGGAGAGTCACGAAGTACATCACAGAACAGAGCAAGGTGAGCATTTGAGCTCATAAAACTTGTTTTTTAAATGAGCGATCGTTTCTCTTGATAAGACCCTTATTCTTCGTCTGGAATCGTTTAAAGCCCTTTGAACAGTTTGCACTGAAACTGTCTTTTGGACCTTGAACCGTTTGGTTCCCATTGAAGTCCATTATATGGAGAAAAATCCTGGAATGTTTTCATGAGTGAACGTTCACAAAAGTGAACTACTCCTTTAAAAATGGCAGTATTTGTCATGACTCATGTTCTAGAAATGTTTTTATTGTTTCTGTTATTATTGTAAAATGTTTGATTCTGTGATATTTTTCTGTACAGATACGAAACTGCGATGCGTATGCTGCAGGAAGTGATTGCTGCAATGCAGACAGGCAGTTGGGAGGACGCCCATGGCCTCTACACTACAGCAAAGGCCACTTGGCAGGAGATTAAAGACTCCTGTGAAATAAGGTTTAAAAACGAAAATGCAACTTTCATTTAATTTGCTTGCTGTTGTAAGATGGATTGAGTTTCAATATGTTTGCAGTCATCATGAACAACTGCCTGTTTTCCTGCGGTGTTTCACCGTGGGCTGGACCTACACCCGTATACTGTCTCGAGGAGTTGAGATTTTACAAAGACTTCGCCGCTATGATGTGGGTGGATAATACATGGAGTGAATGATGCCATTGTAAACACCTAATTCTGTATATTCATTTTACATGTGTTCGTTGCATTTCTGCATTGTAGGAATCCGTGGAGGAGCTCAGGAATCTTCTGTCCCAGTCAGTGTATTGTGTAACCAGTAGGGGGCGCTGGTGGGACAGACTTGCTCTCAATCTCCAGCAACATCTTAAACAACATGAGCAGGTACCTAATATAAACAGAGATCATGTTTTAATGTTACTTTTATTAGGGGTATATAAATGTTCTTTCAATGGATTGAATGAATTTGACGCCTTTTGTATCCAGGCCATCTGTGCTATTCGGGATGGACTGAATGACCCTCTGGTCCGAACAGGCCACAAATTATCACTTCATCAGCGAGCTTCACGAATGAAGGAATCTACTAGCTTGAAGAAGTACCGTCTGCTGCTCCGAGATCTACCCACTATGCACGTACAGGATGTCACTCATGTGAGTCTTCAGCTCTCCCTGATTTTTTGAGGGGGCACCATTATAAATAGTGTTATTCACTGTATATATTTTGTGGTCAGAATTACTAAATACCAATAAAATATCTCCATGTTATTGGGGAATGTAGATGATTTTTTTAAAACCAACGCTGATTTTAAAACCAACAGGTCACAATTCGAGGCCAGCTCTTTCCTCATGAGGGTGGAATGGGCAAATCAGTGTTTCTTAGAGCCGTCAATGAGGATGAAGGATCTAGTGAGGGACGAGGGACTATGGTCATGTGTTCTGTTGAGGAACTGGCTCTGGAACACTACAGAACACTTGGATTTGATCAAGGTATGGCATCACATTTTGTGAAAGGATAATTCACTCAGAAATTAAAGTTCTGTGATCATCTTCATAGCCTCATTGTCATTTTCAAACCTCGAAATGACAAAAAATGAGACATTTTGGAGAATGTAGCCTGCAGTAATAATAAATGATGCAGAAGATGAAGTCTAGACATCTACTCTACAAGTCTAGCTCTCCTTGGTGCATCAGATATATATAATCATTCAGAGTGGTTTCTGAAACAGATCAGGTGATTCATTGAAATGATTTGATTTAACCTTAAACCATATTCTGGACAAATGTGGGCAAAATAGTTTTGATTTATTTTAAAAAAATACTTCCCTTGATCTGAGCGGCTACTTTTCCTAAGTTTGCCTCCTGAACACACACAATTTTTTTTGACTCAATTCTTCAATGTTATGTGGGTGAAAAAAATAAACTCCTTAATCTTGTATTTGGGTCGAAAATGGGCACCCATAGAAATGAATGGGAAAAACTGTGATTTAGAGCATTATAAAATAAGACAAAATAAGACACCAGGTGACAGAAAAGTCACTTCATCTTTAGGTTTTAGCTCTAAGAACTTATTGGAATGATATTTTAATGTAGTTAAAAAAAATAAAACATAAAAACAAGCATAATTTACATAGAAAATATGGAACTTTTTGAAGTACATAAATTTAAAAATACCCCCAAAATAAAGAAAAACACCATAAATGGATAGACAAAACTTTATCGAAGACAGTGATATAACATGTATAATAAATAAAAATTAGGATCACACCTGAGTCCTCTGTGCACACATTTGTCCATAATTACAGGATTAAGGGCTATAAAGTGAATACGGTTTGAGGGCTACACAGATGATCTGACATCGCTAATTACGTCATGTAATGTCACGTATTTAAATTTCAGTCTTCTCTTTAAAAGCAATATATGATTTCAGAAGCATTCAAATATAAATGATAATGACCACTTTTATGATCTTTAAAGCTTGAAAGCTCCAGCCCTCATTCATTGTATTTACGTGGAAAGTACTTTATTTTTTTGGTGTTTTAAAAAATATATTGTTTCAGAATCATTTGCTAAGAATAATCAAATATATTTTCATGAAATCATTCAAATTTGTAATTAAAGCTAGCTAATACAAGGATTCTCAAACAAGTTTTGTCAGCCTAACCCCTTTGACCTAAAATATTTACTTAAAATACCGCCGATAATTTTTAAATAATTTAACAACACGTTTGCATGTTCAACGTTTGCATGTTCTGATGCCGGGTAATGGTTACATACAATTAAACCAATACAATTTAAAATATTTTTTGTGAGTATTATTTTTTAATTATTTATTTTACATTAGTATTATGAATTATTAGCTTTAAATCAACAATTTTTTTATGTTGCTGTAATCTGTTTTCCCCTTTTAAGGTATTCATGGAGAAGGCTCTACATTTTCCACTCTGTTTGGACTCCTCATGTGGGACATCATCTTTATCGACGGGGTTCCTGATGTCTTCCGAAACCCATACCAGGTACAGAATAATTAAAGAAGGAATGCTGTGTGCTTCACTCGTTCAGGGTCACGCTTTATTGTCAGGTCATACCACCCCAAGAGATCAGTGATCAATGACTCTATGCCCTTTCCCAGACTTGTCCTTTAGATTTGCACACTGATTGTTTCTATGGTAACCGGCGGGAAGCCATTGAGGCGCGCGCTGAGATGTTGCGTGAGGCGTCTGCAGAGACGCTGCAGGAGCTGATCGCTGATGTGTGGACCGCACAAGAGGGGAGAGTGTGTGCGCTGATAAACTGGGAGCGCTTCTCCTCTCTTCAGCAGGCACAGGTAATCACAGATTCTTTACGCCATGTTCGCTCGTACATAACGTCTTGGTAATAGCTTTCCGGCAGCTTCGGTCTACTTGAATGGGTCTACTTAACCTTTTTGCAAAGATTACTTTTCAGAAACGTATTTCGGTCACGCTTTTGATTAGGGTCGGTTCTAAAAGACAATTGGCTCTTTTTCTATTGCTGCCAGACTGAGTTTTGCAATTGCTCTCATTCATTGTTCTACTAGTGGTCCGTCAACTCCTCAAAGTGTCTTTAACATCATTAATTAAAGTCATTAATTAAAGTCAATGCATGATCAATCCTTTTTCCAAAACATGCTTTTGTCTTACCCTGATTCACTATAGTAAGCCTATTATTAGTGTTTATATTTTAGACCTGTTGGAATGGTTTTCATGGGAAATTGAGTTCAGTGTTGAAAACGTTACTTTAAAAAAAGTAAATAGTTATAGTTACTCACTACTTGTTGCAAAAAGTAACTGATTTAGTTACTAAATTACTCTACAAATAAAAGTAACTCGTTACCAGGGAAAGTAACCATTTGTGTTACTTTGTGTAACCAAAAAAAAGTTACTTTGTCAAAATTTTTTTTAGCAGTTTTCACAAGCCAGTTGAAATAAGTAGGACAGAAGTAGTGATTATATATCCACCTTGAAAATGCCAATTTTTCATCAGATTGTGTGTGTGTGGCTCTTTCATCACGCTTCATTTTGTACCACCACTTTTTGAAACATTTGAGACATGGATGTTAATACAAATAAATTAAACATCTCTAGTTAACTGGAAGAGCATTCATTTAGTTTGCTATTAAATAATACATATAGTGCTAAAATCTCAAACCTCCAAATCACCCATTAAAAAAAAAACACGCAGAGTCTGCTGGCAAAAAGAACGCAACAGAGCTCGTAATAAAACAAGAACCAACATTGGCTTGGCTTTTTGGAAATGGTGAGAACTGAGTGATTGTAAAAGTGACAAGGAGATAAATTGCCAAATGTTGCTCTAAAAGAGTTCATTGTGAAACGTCATCTATTGTGAAGGGTCATATTCATCAGCACAATCACTCAGAAGAGCCGAAGCACAACAAAAACATTCTTCCACAAAATGCATGCAGTTTTATTTTTTGACTACTAGAGCGCCAAAAGTTACTTTTAGTGTACTTTAACATTTAAAGTCTTTTCTTCCATATTGTAATATGTATATCTAAGTGAAATTTCTTGAACAAGAAAAATTGATTTTGCCCATGGGGATTTGATTGGATTTTCGCTTTAGCTACAGTCTCGTGTGAGTGACAGGTTGTCCCTGTCTCGTGCCAGTAAACATGTCATCAGAGAAGAGTGGGAAGGAAAGTTATATTGATTAAAGATTACGAGAGCACATGAATTAAAAAATAATAACGATGAGCACAGATTTATAATAAATAAGGCAATATTCCATAAAAAACAAGGATTATTAGTTTTAATTTTATGGTGACTTTAACATTTTCATTCAACATCATTAAAATATGTTCACTACCGTAAACAAGCACATTGTACTTAATATTGTCTGTTTTTAGAGTCTAGTAGAGTGTTTGGGTGGCCACTTCTTAAGCAGTGTGGTCCTCAGAATGGCGAAGGACTACAGGCACTGCAGAGGTGGACTTCCAGATCTGGTAGTCTGGAGCATGTCCAACAAGAAGTACAAGGTGAGTCAGAGACGTACTGTAGCTTGCTAGTTAGGAACTTTTAAATACTCCAGAAAGTAACTTATGTAACTGATTTAATAAGATTATGGTGTTATGAAACAATGGAAATGCTTGAAAACATTGCTTATTTGAGTTGTGTTCTTCTAGCTGGTGGAAGTGAAGGGTCCTAATGACCGTCTGTCACAGAAGCAGCAGATCTGGCTGGATGAGCTGCGTAAGCTCGGTGCTGATGTAGAAGTGTGTCACGTCACCGCCACTGGAGGACGGGGAGTGAGGCGGGAATGAGACTGCTGTCACTCTGAGAAGAATGGAGACTCGAGCATGTGTGGTTTACCAAATAGCAAAGTTGGAAATCTTTGAAGCACACAGGACAGATTTAACGACGTATTAAAACCTCAGCTTGGCGCTGATGTGATGATGTAACAGAAGAGTATTATTAGGAAGTTTAAAAAGACCTATTCTCCCCACCTGAATTGTAAAATTGTTAACTTACCTCATGGCACTGACTGACTTGATTTTTATTCTTGTATTCTTGCTCATTGTAAAGTGACAATATATTATATTGACTAATTTTTAAAAAAAGTACTTTTCTGGTGTAAATAATTTTAAAGACATTGAATAAAAAAATCACATTATAAAAGTTTTTGTTATTAAATAATTCTTAAATATTATAGGCATAAGCACACAATTTTGTAGATTTAAAAAAATGGTTTGTCTATTTTTTTGAGTAAAAGACTCTATATGTGTGAAAGAATGCACATATGTGAAGACCACATTTCAAGACTGAAATACCTTTTCATTGCATGTCAAGCATATCCTTCATGTCTGACACCCAGAGCTAAAACCAGCTCTGTTGGTGCAAAAACATGTCATCTTCAGTCTTGCTTTATTTTAAAGGTCTATTCAAAACCATTTTATATAAACTGTTATTGTAATGAATCATGCTTTTCAGTGTAACATTTAAACATTATGAAGTTTGCAATATCATGCTACGGTAGCATATACGGTACATAAATCACTATCGAATCACATGTCCTATGAAGGCCAGACAATCTCAGTTACTTCAACATTTAATTTATGAACAGAAGCGCATAGAGCATTAGGACATTGTATTTCTTAGCAAGTAACTGAAGCAGACTCTATATAAATCAAGTCTGCCCTATGATCCTAAAATATGTCACAAAACCTTATCTTATATCTTCTGTATTCTTCATTGCATGCTTATACATTTTAAAGAAACATTTAAAATAGATTAATAATATTCCCCTCTGCTGTGTTCCTCATTATCATCATTGCTCATAAAAACAAAAAGGTTTGTTATTTTCGCAGTTCCTCACAAAATTGAGTACAGTCTGTGAATGAGTATAATTGATGAATAGTTCTTTAAAAAAAGTTTTTGAACGTACGAGAGGGTTTCGACAACAAATGTACAACTTTAAAGTCTATAGCCTAACGTAAGTTAGTCTTTTAGTCAGTCAGCAAAGCCAGTCTGAATGACCAAATAGACTAGTGTGTGTTACTTCAGTCTGGCCATGCTGGGAAAACAATTGACCTCACAAAATTAGACCAGCGGAAACCATCTTAAACCAGCAAAAATCAGGCAGCTAACTACTTCAGGCATGCTTTAACTGTATTCTGCTATTTTAGCTATTAGGCTATATTTCGGATTCTTCAATTCATGCGAATGTAGCTGTTCATCTCGATCAGGGTAAAACTTTTTCAGTGAGGACTGAGAAATCACTGCGTGTACCTTTAACGCTGGGTCTCGTGATATCCAATCAAATGGAAGCTTAAAGGTATAAACGTTTTCTATTGGCTGAACGCGCATCCCTCCCGAGTCGAGACGTGACGCAGCGATCGATAATTGGCTACTGGTTGTTGTGTTTAATACCAGTTTCTCACGTTACAGTCTAACAGCTTGCGCCATTAGCTTGTGTACAGTTCTAATACGTAACGTTACTAAACCCAAAATACGAAATATTTCAGACGACATATTCCGGCAGTTAAGCAAATAGTAAGTATACATATAAGTACATTATGGGGTTGTTAGTCATGTGTGGGAACTCTTATACTCATGCTTGACTAAGCTAGGTGTTAGCTTGTAGCAGGATGATGGCGAGGCCACATGCTTGTCTGATTTAGAGACAAAACATGATCTTTGAAGATTTTTTTTTTACATGAGAGGATAGTAAATAACGGGTCATTCTGTCAAACTGCTTTACGCAACTTAAATCGATGTTTTGGTGGTGTTATAGCTAGCAAAACATGCTAGTGTTATTGTCATTAGCTAATGTGCAGTGTATTGTTAAAAGAGATTTAATTACATCAGATCTATCCATCAGACAAAGTGTTGTGGTCAGTACAGAACCAGACCAGTCTGTCCAAATACTGACTCCTAATGTTATTTTTTTTTCTTTTAATATGAACATCCAATTCACAATGCTGTAATGCTTTGCTCAAAAGTCATCTGCAGATTTTTTTTGTGTGTGTGTGTGTGTGTGTGCGTGCAAAAAAGCAGAGCTGGTTATCATTTTGGTTTCTATCTGACTCACTCATATATTTTATAATTTTTTAATAGGCCAAGAAACAATGGCTTTTGCAAGCCTATGTCTTTCTCTGATTATTTTGCTGATAATAATTGGCCACAAGCTGGAATAAGTGACTTCTGCTCCAAACTATATGGTCAAAAGTTCAGTATTGCTTTAGTTTGTTTTTTAAGGAAGACCCACCCAAAATGAAAATTCTTTACTTGCAAAGCCGGGAAGATGTTAGACACAATGACAGCTTTAGTCACTGTTGTCTATTCATTCTGCCTAAAACCATTTTTTTTTTTTTTGAGTTTCACAGAAGAAAGTGGTCAAGCAGGATGAGTAAATGAAAACAAAAAATGTTGGGGGTGAATTACTTTAGCTTTTACACTAACATCCTTGATTGTTCTATACTACAAACAGAATGAAAGTAAACATTGATTCTGTGAAGGTCACATTCACATCCGTTTTTACATGTTTGCTCTGGCCACCATTAAATGTGCGATTCTTTTTCACGTTTCCTGGTGTTCTCAGAAGCTAAAGTTGAGTAAATCTTTATACTGAACAGAAACGGCAACAAATTTATTTTGAGTCCCCAATTCCTATTTGCGCCAATAACAAAAGAAAAAAAAATACACTCTAGCATTTTTAAGACTTTAAATTCAAATTCAAAAAACTTTATTATCTATCAACCAGTGATAGAAATTTGTCTTTGGTTATAAGGATGCTGGATGCTGCTTCTGTGGATTGTTTTAAGAAACTTCTTAAGACACATCTTTTCAGTCAAGCTTTTAATTTTTAATTTGAATATTTTTGTGTATTTTTTTGATGCTTCTATTTTTTGTTTTACTTCCATGTTTATTTTGTTTTGTACATGCTGTAGCACTTTTAGTCTGAGAAAGGCGCATTACAAATAAAATCTTATTATTATTATATCACTGGAAATAAAAGGGTTATGATCAGGCAAGAGTTTAGGACCCGCAATAATATTAGAAAAGCTTTCCAGCACTGGAGAGACCTAAACGAGACGGCCTGAAAAGAAAACATAATAGAGGTTGTGTTGTTTCTGCTCCATATGTGAGTAACATTGCTTTTGAGTGTGTGCTGCTGGCAAAAAACAAACTCTTTCTTATACATACTTTTGTGTAATGCATGTTAATTTTTTTTCCCGTCATCTTTGCTTTATTTTTTATGTATTATTTTGCTTTGAGAGACATTCATGCATGGCGTGTTCGTGCATTTTTTGGGGGGAGGGGGGAGGGATCGCATACTGCACCTTTAAGCGTACTGAGTGTTTGGAGAAGTCCTTCATACGTCACCAGAAAGAAGTCTGTTATTTTCACTGGTCAGATTGTGACATTTTGATTTAACATTATGAGGTCAAAAAATGAATAATCCAGAAAATGAATTGTTTACAACATCTATAACATGCATTTAATAATTTGGTGAGGTTTTTTTCTTGTCACGTTGACAAGTCAGCTGGGATGGTCTGGTCTGTAGTAAAGAACCATATGTTGTGCATATTGAGTTAACAGCTCAGCCCATCTGAGTTAAGCCCACTTCTTGGTGTTCCCAGCCTGCAGTCAGTGGGAAATTAAGCCTCTGGAAGGTTGCCTGTGGGTGGGGGACCTTGTTTTCAAGGAAATGTCCCTCACATTATCCTGAGGCTAACACTTTGTGTTAAATTACAAGCATCAGTCTTTAATGCATCACTCAAACTGCATGAACGTCAACAGACAGGAGTAACACTGATCCGACAAAACCCGACGAATATGCATGTTGCCGTTGGTCAGCGTCTGTCAGTGTAGTAGAGTAGACTTTGGGACCACACTTGATTTTAAAATGAATGGTCCTTGTCATTTGAGTGTCTTAACATTACTGTTCAAAAGTCTCTTATACTCACCTAAGGCTGCATTTATTTAAGCAGAAATAAATCAGTAATGTAAAATTATTACAGTAAAATATAACTTAATAATAAATAAATATATTATTATTTATTTATTAATTAATATTTATTAAAAATTAAAATATTTTTATTTATTAAAAGTTAAAATATTTTTATTTAATAAAAATTAAAATACTTTTATTTATTAAAAATTAAACTATTTTTATTTATTTAAAAATGTAAATATTTTTATTTATTTAAACATTTTAATATTTTTATTTATTTAAATATTTTTATTTATTAAAAAAATAATATTTTTATTTATTAAAAATTTAATATTTTTATTTATTAATTTTTTTATATTTTTATTTATTACATTTTTAATTTTTTATTTATTAAAAAAAATTATTTGTATTTATTAAAAAAATATTATTTGTATTTATTAAAAAATATATTTTTATTTATTAAAAAAATTATATTTTATTTATTAAAAAAATCTTATTTTTATTTATTTAAAAATTAATATTTTTATTTATTAAAAAATTCAAATATTTTTATTTATTAAAAAATTCAAACATTACATGTAAAATAACTGTTTTCTATGTAAGCTCCCCATTAAAATGGATGATTATTGGGTAAATGTTAACCTTTTGAAATGTGTGTTTTCCAGCAACTAGCTGAACATTTGTTGTTCCCTCTCAGTCTACAGGAAGAATAGAAACCCTTTGGCCATTTTGAGGAAGCCCGTCACCAGATGAACACCCCTCCTGATCTACTGTAGTTTGTTTTACACTTTCATGAAGATGGCCCCTCTCCTCCTCCTCCTCAGGCTGCCACACTGATCACCTCCACTGAACCATAATCACACAATGGAGAGAAAACGCAGAAAGAAATGAATACTCAAGCCATGCGTTATTCAGGCTTCTCTGCATTCTGGACCTAAACAATTTCATAAACTGCAAATACCCATACATATTTGTTACCTTTGAGGACGCATGTATCTTTAGATGGGTGATAACCAGAAACGGACCACGGGGACCATGATTGTACGGCTGTGCTTGCTTGTGGCTGCTTTGGGGGGTCGATTGCCTCTGGTGGGCACAGAGGAAAACAGAGGGCCGTTCTCAACTCCCTTTCATCCACCTCTGAATCCTGATGCACTCTTGAGCTCAAACTGCTCACAGATCCTGCTTAAACTGGACTTTTCTACTAAAGTGGTCAAGCATG